TTACCCACGTCCCAAACCGTCTCTAGTTCTACTCCTTGATTTAAATTAAACTTAAAATATTCTTCTAAGATTTGCTTGGCCTTCTGTACAATTTTTTCATCGTTTAGCATACTCTCATTAAGTTGCCACCTTTTAACCTTTTCTTCTTTCCCTTTAAAGTTAACCCAGACCGCACTGTGATCTGAAATTGTCCTTGGATGGATTCCTGCTTTTGTAATATTATTTAATAAATCCTTTGTTGTCCAGATCGCGTCGATTCATCCCGCCAATTTATGTGGCTCTGAATAATGTGTAAATTCTTTATCTGTTGGATTCTTAAACCTCCAAGCGTCGAACAAATTCAGGAGTTCTATTAATTGGAAAAATGTAGTTGGGAGTTTGTTCTGCCTCTTTTCTTTCTTCTTTATTGTTCTGTCCATGTTTGGATTGACTACTCCATTAAAATCTCCTAATAATATAATTTTTTCCCCTAAGTATTCTATGACTTTTTCTTCCAGGAATTGATAGAATTCGGATTTTCTTTCATTTGGTGCATAAATTCCAATAACTATCACTTTTTCATTATTGATCTTAACCTCTATAATCACTGTTCGGCCTTTTTCATCATTGTAAAGCAGTTTTGGCTCCAGCTGAGGTTTTACATAGATTACCACCCCTCTCTTTTTTTTTTTTACTTGATGCAATAAAGTCAAGCCCAAATCTCTTATTTATTAATACTCTTTTATGTTTTTCCTCTACATGAGTTTCTTGCAGACAGATTAGATCATATTTTTGCTTAACCAGAATATGTTCCACCTTGTTCCTTTTTTATTTTTCATTTAAACCATTAACGTTCCAAGTAATAAATTTATAATCCATACTTTATTTCTTATGATACGTCAACGGGTTAAAAAAAATATTACACATTCAAGGTCTCAGTATACATTTAATAAATTCCCTTCTTAGATCTGTCTCCTAACTCTCATCTGTTTGTTCAATTTCCTCTGATTCTCCCAACAATTGCCTTTTGCCTCCAAGGTCTTTCCGGTACTTTCTCCAGAACTTGTCCGCATCTAATGCCGACAAGCACTTTCTACGTTTCTCTTTAAAGAAAAAGGAGATGCCTCCAGGGTACTCCCACCTATAGTACACTGCCTTTGCTTTTAGTGCCTTGGCCAGAGGTCTATAAGCTTCTCTCTTTTTTATCAACCGATTTGGGATAATCTTGTGGACGATAATATCATTTCCTTCCGATTGGAATTTCTTCTTGTTACTAGCGTGTAAAATTCTATTTCTGAAATCCATAGAGTTAAAAGAGACTAAACAATCAGCTGGCCAGTTGTTTGCTTTTGCTACATTAGATTTGACTCTGAATGCTTTTTCTATTTTTTGTGCTATTTCTGCTTCTTCTAGGTCTAACCAAGCTGCTAGCTCTTTTGAGATTTTTTTCTCAATTATTTCATCTGCGTCCTCTGTTAGTCCTCTGAATCTTAGGGTATTCTCCCTTCTCTGCATTTGCAACATCGCAATAGAGTCCAAAGTTGAATCCTGCTGTGCTTTCAGATCTGCTGTTTCTTTCCTTATGTTATCGCATTCCCTTTTCAACTCTCTATTTTCATTTTGTAATTTTTTCTGAGCTTCCTCTAGGTTCTGTGTTTTACCTTTAAGGTCTAGCACTATTTTCGTCAGTTCTGAATTTTTTTGTACTAAATTATTGACCTGAGTTGATAACTCAGCTGCTATTTTCACATTTTCATCTATTTTGACTCCCACTGAAATAAGTTTTTCTTCTGTTGCTTTTGCCTTTTCATTTACATTATTTTTTAAATCTTGGATATCTTTCTTCAAACTTAAAATTAATTCTCTCATATCTAGTGATTGATCCATGTCAATTACAGAAGTTCTCCTGATTTGTGAGGCTGAAACTGCCGCAGAACCTGACACAGTTGTTTTTTTTACCATACATCACTAAGAAATTCAATTAGCTCACTAGGTAGTTTGTTCTCTTTCCTTCTGTCTTACAGATTGGATATAAATTAAATTCAATCTTTCTTAATACAATCGTGTCAATATTTCCAGTGTGATAATTAATGAATGTCAATTAATTTCAATCTTTCTTAATACAATCACAACAATTTTACCAGTCTGATAGTCATCTTCGGCCTATGTATCCACTAATTCTTTATATTCCCAGTTTCACTAAATATATTTTAAATTGATTATGAATAATTATCTAATTAGTTACAGCCAAGCATCAATACAGCAATATCACAAATTCATCAGATCAAATAAATATAATAAATGATTGCAATCCTTGCATTCACTTACTCATTCAGGGTAATAGATCATATATATATATCTTTAAACAGGTTAGCAGTTCAGTTAATCAGCACCTTGCAATAAAGCTAATGACACCTGATGCTAATATCACCTGCATTAGCTACCAATAGATAGTGAAAGGCAAAGCAAACAAAAACAGAAAAAAACAGCAACGAAAAACAGAAACAAAAAAACCAAGACGAAACCACACAAATTGAAAACCACACAAAAACAACCAGAAAAAACAACAAAAATGAAACAAACAGAGAAACAAAACAAAACAAAAACACAAAAAAATTACAAAAGAATGAAACAAAGAAAAGATGGGAGGGTAAGAGAAAAATAAAGCAGAAGAAGTAATAATAATAATGCAATTTATAATTTGTAAAGAAATAAAGAGGGGAAAGAAAATACGAAAAGTATATTTAAATAATAAGAAAAGAGCTGGGGAGTATTTTCAATTAATAATGTACAATGCAATAATGTTATGTGCTAGTAAGTTCTCCTTAGATGTTACTTTTCCAGAGGTAACAGGAATGCTGTTCCAGTAATGGGGTATAGGGTCTATAAAAATTTATGAAACCTTGTCTCTTTCAGCAGATTGTGATGCAGCGTTTTGGGATCTTCACTAGTTGCAGATCTTGCAAAAATCCCTGTAATTGCTCTTATAAGTCTTATTAGAGGAACGTCTTTTTCAAAAGAGTGCAAAGTTTTCTTTCACCAGCTGATGTCACTGTTTGAGTCCCTCTCTGCGATTTTCGACCCCCTTCTCAATCAATGTCAGTCTATGTCAGTCTTATACAATTCATTTCCGATCCTCAAACCAGGAAAATGTCGGTCTAAGAAAATGTCGGAGCGTGTGAGTCAGCAGAAGCACTCTTAGCTGTTGCTAAATTGATTTATACTCCGTAGCAGTCCACAGCCAAAGACAGAAATCCCCAGAAAGGGAGGATAGCCACACTTCTTGGGAGAGGGGAGGCGATGTTTATCAGTCTTGTGACAGTTTTATAACTTTGTAATCAATCACCCTCTCTTTCACCACCGTTCTCTGGGAGTCTCTTGCTCTTATATTCCTTTTGCCAGCATAAACAGACAGTTGAAAACTAACTTGTGAACAACAGTTAATTTTATACTGAAGAGTCTGGAAACCCCTTTATATATTTAACCACTTGGGAAGGGTCTTTTTTTTAATTTCTTCTTCATGACATCTTGGTTTATTTCTGTCGCAACACTAATGAAGCCACAGGTAATCTTTTTGTTCATAACTCCAGCAGGAAAAGATGGCTAAAACGTCTTAGGTATTAATGGAATAGATGTCTTTTTTGAAAAAAACCAGTCTGATATAGCTTGTAGGTAAATCTTGGTCAGTTGCGAAAAGCCATTTAGGTTCAAACACTTTGTTTTAAGATCAAACGCTTTGTTTTAATCATAAATTAGCAGGTTCAGTAAGTAAATAGGCTAATCGTTTAGGTTTGTTAGAAGTGTAGCCATAGACATACCCACAGGACTCGGGCTTCTCGTCAGCGGAGGGTTGCAGGAACTAGTACCGAAGAAGTTCTCCCCCTTCTCCCCCTTCTTGCTCAGCTTTTCGGAGCTTGAAAATGGTCTGGGGGTCCTCTTCTTCGTGCTGCAGCAATGCCATATCACCCTGGAATCTCCTTCCAAGGCTTCGGGGTCAGCTTAGCCTTAGCTCCCCCTTCTAGCTCCGCTAACGAACGCATACCTCCCGACCTTGGCAAAGTGGGAGAGACGCATCTGTCCGTGAGCAAAGACTACCAATAACAGCCCCTTTGAAAGTAGCTTGTTAGCCATAGCTACATTTAGATCCCCATCATGTATGAGGAAACTAAGTGCAATTGACTGTGCAATCATCTATGTCTCTTACCTTCCTGGTTTGAAATCTTGCCCTCTGGACATAGGATGCAATCATAACAGCAAAATGGCTTCCCTTCTTTCACTTTCTTGCTAGATCCTGGTTGGCAACTTTCAGTGCAGGCCGAAAGAGGAGAGGCCTAATTCATAAATGATAAACAGAAGAAGCAGAATGATAAACAGAAAATAAGGTGTTTGGAATCCCTCAGGTACTGGACCCAGCTTTGTGTTACTAAAGTGACACAGCATTTCAGTAGGGTATGAATTGGCTCCCTTGAGGGCACTGGACACTGTAGAAGTAATTGCCAACCCTAGTCTCAACAGCTACTATCTGAGGTGGAGGAAGTCATTTGGGGACATTTGATGAATTCAGTCCCTATATATTCTAATAAAAAATGTCCTGATCCATACCAACACATTGTGTTTCTTTGATCAAAATATGTAATTAAACATGTATTCTGAGGGAAAATATGCATATTAAGTAAACACGTTCATCGAACCAGTTTTGTTTTTTAAAAGGAACTGAACTGAGCTATTCATAAAAATATGCATCAATAACAGTGGGAAGATAGTTGTACAGACAATATACAAAAGTAATATGTAAATAAATAAGGAGAATGGCAGTAAATACTATGACTTCTGCACCAGGCTCTTGACCTCATCCCTGTCCTTCCCTTCCTTCACTATCTCCACCTTCACTACCACGCTTCCCTTTTTCTCTTCTACAACTCCCATATCAACTTTAGTTGTCTCCTCTATACTTCCTGCTGTCAACTCTCAGTTTCTCCCTCTGGCCTCATTTCATCCCCTGTTGCCTTCTTGTCATGATATATCATGACACCGAGGAAGGGGAAGAGGATCCTGGCAAGGAGTGTTAGCCACAACTGGTACAAATTGATGATTGGGCAGGAGAGGTTGGGGACTTAGGAGGTACTCACAGGACAGTAGTAGGGGATGTTCAAGGGGCAGCTGACAGTCCATGGGAGCCAGGGGAAAAGGACACATCATTAGAACCAGAGGTACTTCCATCTCTATGGACACAGTGGGCTGTGAGGCGTCAGGAACAGTGGGAAACACACTCTAGAAGACTGAGGCAGGCAAGGGAACACAGCCCAGCTCACTAATTGACCAGGTGGACACCATGAGGCTTGTTCTGGGAGGTGGTTTGTGGGCACTCAGATGACTCTAGGCTTTCCTACCTTGGTTCTCTTGCCAAGGTGGGAACCTGGATTTACTGTTTGACTCTGGACTTTGCTTGTTGTATTGGACTGGGACCAGTATTTGACGTTTTGGACTATCTAGCATTGCTCTGGAGATTGTTTGCACCAGTGCAATGTACTTCCAGTTATGTGGACACTCCTCACCCATTCACCCATGTCCTTTTTCCTCCCCCTTTCAGTCACATTTTATCCTATCTTCATTTTTTATCCTTTCTTGGTCCACACTATATCCTCCTTGGTCCACTTGTACTTCACAAGTGTTCATCGTTGTCAAATGAAATCAGTTTTAAATTTCAGGATAGAACATCAGGGCTCCTTTATTATTAGACCTTTTGCTAAATGCCTGTGACTTGGATTCTACCTGGTTAAACCAGCTGTGCCAAGTTATTACTTCTTTATCAATGGTGAATGCTTGATCTGAAGGCGCTCCAGGATCTATCCTTCCGACTCTGACTCTATGAAGGGATTGATTGGAGAATATAATCCAATTGATAATATCCAAGCTGGATGCTACCTCCCCATTCTTGTTGAAGGATACCACATCTCCTGCAGTGTTATTAAATGAGATACTTCTCAGAATGTGGTGGAGCTAAATTGAAAACAGAAAAGACAAGTATTTAGAAAAGGCTGCACTCTAATACAGGGCTGAGCAATCCTTTTTCCTCTGAGGTCAGAACCTACAGTGAGTGGAGTCAGGGACAAGCATGTAGAGAGCCAACCCATTTTCTCCCACATAAATGTTTTTCTCTCATTCTTTCTGTCAGGCCTCTCTCTCCCTGTTACATCCCTCAGGCAGAACAGTGGTGTGTGACCCCTGCTCTGACGAAAAATTTGCAGGCTGTCAAGGGTGTTTCACAGCCAAAGGAATGCACATGACAGATAATTATTTATTGTCAAGAATACCACATTTGCTTCTACTCCTCTGGATGCCTATACATATATAGCAGCTACACAGCTACACAGCTATTCACAGGTTTGCTGTAACAACTGGAATAGCAAGAATGCTGCTCATCTCTGTTGACTGTTTTCACTGCTTCCTGACTGTTAGTCAAATGGTGTCTCAATGGGCCACAAAACATCTCCAAGGAAATGCTTATCATGTACAGGGGGGTTTCTGCTCAAACAAGGAGACAGCCATCATTGCTCTTTCCTCAGAGAAACAAAGACACAGCCATCATCTGTCCACAAAATTATAGATTCAGTTCCTCCTCAAATTCCATATGCCTGAACCCTGAGAGGAAAGAGCAAGTTGACAGTATTTTGGAAACCCATACATTGTGAAGCAATAAAGGTGCTCTTCCATGTTGAGGATGTTCAACCCGTTACCTGCCCAAACAGTTGATTCTGATTCTTTACTCTCCCTCCATATGCCATTCCTATGTGTCTGGGTCTGGATGTGGACATAGCATGTAACGCATGGGCGATGGCATAGACAGCACTGTGGATACTGTAACTGTGCCCTGTCATACTCATTTCAAAAAATGATCCTGGAAGGTTCTCTAGCTTCTCTTCTCCTGTGCAAATGTTCCCATCCACCTGGTCTGCAGTGATATCTGGGAATACACAATCAAAAGCCTGTTGCCAGAAGTCCCTGATAAAACCATCCCCATCTGTGTTGGAAGGGTTTCTGTGCTCAACATACTGATGAAATCCTGGTGGGTCACTGAAGTGAATTTCAAAGGCTATAGCACCATTGAATAGTCCCGAATCCCAGTTTCTTTGATAGACAAATGAAGTGAATTCAATCTCAGCTGTTGTTATCCAAACTTTACTTTTTACATTATTTGTCATATCGTGTTCTGATAGGTATGGAAGCCATTTTAAAAATGCCATGGCGTAAGATTCTCCATAACTCACCACTACATTAGCCTTGCTGCTCATTATTTTATCATGTATTTTTGCCCCCTGTTGTAACATGTCATTAATTTCAGGGATAAAACTAAAATTGGGAATTCTTTCTATGAAGGCAAAACAGATGCCATTTTGAGAAAACAATTGAAGTACTGTATGCACAAATCTTTCCCCATTGTCATTGTCCACTGCAATGACCCCAATCCATGTCCACTTGAAATGCAGAAGCAAAGAGATAATTCCCTCATATTGAAGGTCTTCCTGGGCTGTCAACTGGTAGAAGGAAAGCCCTGGGGTTTTATCATTCATCACTGGAGCAGAGCCATAAATGAGCTAAAGAGGGAATGGAGGAAGGGACGAGACAAATATAATTTCCAGAGTTATTTCAAACTATTTATGTACATTATATGATGAATTCTGTTGGCTGCATGCTGTCTTTCATTTAGACAAAATAGACACATTCATATGAGCTGAAAACTGGGATAATTTCCCATTCCTGCTTGTTAAATATTTGATCTGATGAGTGGGGGCAGGCACTGTGTCTATTATTTATTTATTTATTTTTAAAGATTTTTGTGTGTATGTCATTGCTGACTTTGGTAGGTCTTGTGGGTTGAATAAAATTGATGGGAGGGGCACATCATGCCCCAATAAGAGGATTAGCTACCTGTGCATTAGATATTATTTAGCTATGTCAGAACTGTAAGTTCCGAATTTATTTTTCTAGAGCTTTTTTCCCCCTTATTCATGATGCACAGACCCCAGCCCAGAGCAAAACTGAGATTTCTGCCTCCTTTTTACATGATTCCTCGCACTTCTTTTATGAAACCACATTTCAATTGTGAACCAGCTGTTCACTGCTATTACTCCTTTCCAGCAAAGCTTGATTGTTTCTGCTACTTAACATAACTTCATTATGTGTTTAATCTTCCCCAAACCCATTACTTTTGGGGGGTGGTGTGGTGAGGAGGGAGAAGGATTTTAGTGCCAGTTACCTGAAAGTTTCCCCCTCCCACTGAATGCACATTCCTTCTTCACTAAGTAGAAAATCCTGCATACCCAAACATAGCTGGTCCATTATCCCACCAGTGGACCTTGGGATATCAGTCTCCTGGAAAGGGGAGGGGGTTGAAATAGAGAATGAATTATTCTCCCCTCCCGTGCAAATTTACTGCAAAGCACTGTTGTCATTAAAGTGCATAGTAGAAATGAAGAGGTGGATACTTAGATTGCAAAGAGGTATTGCCCATAAGTGCCATACCTGTGGAATCTTATAGATATCCAAAATGGTTGCCACATAAAAGGAGATTTCAGAGTCGAGTCCCCCAATAACCCCTGTTAGATTATTTTCAGTATCACATACATAGTTGGGGACACATTTCTCCAGTTTGGATAAAAGTATCAGTGTGGCAAGATACGTCTTTCTTGCATTAGTATAGCTGTCATAGATGTGGAAGCCCAAGGTGATATTGGGTAAAATGTGGGAGCATCCATTAATCTCCTTGACTGCAAATGCCAATGCCAGGATGTGCTGGTAAGCCTTGGGCACCACCCTAGAATGAGAGTTGCAGATTGTTTCAGAAGCATCTTCAACACTTGGAACATTAAATATGTACTCAGAAGTTAATCATATTGAATTCAGTTAAGTCTACTACTGCGCTACTAGACTACTAGTATGCTAAAAATTCTACAAGGAAGGCTCAAGTAGTATGTGGACCGAGAACTCCCAGAAGTGCAAGCTGGATTTCGAAGGGGCAGAGGAACCAGAGACCAAATTGCAAACATGCACTGGATTATGGAGAAAGCTAGAGAGTTCCAGAAAGACATCTACTTCTGCTTCATTGACTACGCAAAAGCCTTTGACTGTGTCGACTACAGCAAACTATGGCAAGTTCTTAAAGAAATGGGAGTGCCTGAACACCTCATCTGTCTCCTGAGAAATCTCTATGTGGGACAAGAAGCTACAGTTAGAACTGGATATGGAACAACTGATTGGTTCAACATTGGGAAAGGAGTACGACAAGGTTGTATATTGTCTCCCTGCTTATTTAACTTATGTGCAGAATTCATCATGCGAAAGGCTGGGCTGGATGAATCCCTAGCCGGAATTAAGATTGGCGGAAGAAATATCAACAACCTCAGATATGCAGATGACACAACCTTGATGGCAGAAAGTGAGGAGGAATTAAAGAACCTTTTATTGAGGGTGAAAGAGGAGAGTGCAAAATATGGTCTGAAGCTCAACATCAAAAAAAACGAAGATCATGGCCACTGGTCCCATCACCTCCTGGCAAATAGAAGGGGAAGAAATGGAGGCAGTGAGAGATTTTACTTTCTTGGGCTCCATGATCACTGCAGATGGTGACAGCAGTCACGAAATTAAAAGACGCCTGCTCCTTGGGAGGAAGGCGATGGCAAACATAGACAGTGTCTTAAAAAGCTGAGACATCACCTTGCCAACAAAGGTCCGTATAGTAAAAGCTATGGTTTTCCCAGTAGTGATGTATGGAAGTGAAAGCTGAACCATAAAGAAGGCTGATCGCCAAAGAATTGATGCTTTTGAATTATGGTGCTGGAGGAGACTCTTGAGAGTCCCATGGACTGCAAGAAGATCAAACCTATCCATTCTTCAGGAAATCAGCCCTGAGTGCTCACTGGAAGGACAGATCCTGAAGCTGAGACTCCAATACTTTGGCCACCTCATGAGAAGAGAAGACTCCTGGAAAAGACCCTGATGTTGGGAAAGATGGAGGGCACAAGGAGAAGGGGACGACAGAGGACGAGATGGTTGGATAGTGTTCTCGAAGCTACCAGCATGAGTTTGACTAAACTGCGGGAGGCAGTGGAAGACAGAAGTGCCTGGCGTGCTCTGGTCCATGGGGTCACGAAGAGTCGGACACGACTAAATGACTAAACAACAACAACAACAACTAGACTGCTATACACCCCTACCAAGAACTAAACTATTTCTTTTTTTCACAGCTGATTCATGTGAGTGTCCAGATCAGTATGTTATATTTAAATCAAAGATAACTGAGTTGACATTTGCAGCATCAGCCATTGTTCTGAAGCTGCTGCTCTGGGATTGATCATGAGAGGCTGAGTTCTTACACAAGTTCTTCAGGCAGTACCGGTGGAGGTTCCTCCATGAATGTTGCTGAAGTGGATAAGAAGCCACCATGGGAAACAATGCCACCGATGATGAAATCTCCTGGCTGATGATAGATGTGAAGTGGACGATGAGGACCTTGGAGCCTGCATTTTGCTATGTGAGCCTCACATATGTAAGGAAATAGATCCAGCAGAAAGATTACTAAAACAACCATCCTTAATACAATACAATCTTCATTCTACACAGAAACCACTATTTTTCTGGCAATACTATGAGCAGCATCTCCAAGATGAAAATTGTCTAATTTGAATGGTAATTTAGTTTCCTGAGAGGTTGCAATTTGGGCGTCTCAAACTCAGACATTTGGATACCAGACCCTATCTATTCTGATTAGATTTATAGTATTCTTTGACAGTTATCACTGAACATCCACAAGGATTTTTGAGAAGCAGCAGCTTTAATTATAGTCCTCTTAATAATCAAACAGGAAAGTAGTTATTCATTAAGTGCTAGGTATTCCCAGTGGAAATGCTGGAGAAAATGTGTTTGTCACATATTCAGAACCATCACTTTTTAATTCCCTTGGGTTAGATAATAATGGACCAATGGTGTAGTGGTGCATTTTGAAGTTAGGAGCTCATCATAACAAACCCTGTAGCCAATTGGGACTCCAAAATGTAGTGTGGTGTAGTTAGCATCTTGGAAATTGTTGGAGGAGACCTGGATCTATATCCCTGATCAGCCATGTGTCATGACTACAATCTATGCACAATACTTACTTGGGAGTAAGCTCTGTTGAAGTCCAAGAGCTTATCTATGATAGCAAAGTTGTACAAGACTCGTAAAACATATAAAGGAGAAAATACCATTAAAGGAAAACAAAATGCCGTCTCTACTTTATTATCATCCCACATCTTCAAATTCCAGTATACTATACTAATGACAAACAACAGTAAAACTTGGAAGCTTAGTTACTGCTTCTTCAACTTCCAAAAGCAAGGAGCATCTTGTGCCCTGGAAGATGACAAATCTGCTGTTGTACAGCACTGCAAGGGAGAGTAGAGTTTGAAATTACCCAAGACAAGGGAAACCAACAAACAAAGAAACCACAAGAAATAGTATATGACAATTTTTTTATTAAAAAAAATTTAAAGATCCCTCTCCACACAATGCTCTTCTCTCCCTCACAAAGCCAACATTCTGATAATACTTCTTGCATTCTTGTTCAACCCACAGATTAATAAAAAGTGGACACTTCTAGACTGAGAGTAAAATGCACATGCTTTGTAGGGTGAAGATCCTTGTTTTGACTTCCAGTACCTGTCTTCAAAATGAAGTCAGGAAACCTCAGTTTCAAATCCTTGCTATAGTAACTAATGCTGGGTTAGGTGGTCCACTCCATCACATACGACTCATCACACTCAAGTTGCATGAAGGGCTGCCTATAAGGATCACTTATGAGCATTATAGATTACCATTGGCTGTAAAACAAGCGAAATGAGATAACTAAACCTTTCAAAAAGTAGTTTTTGTAAAGAAATAAATGGTGCTTATATAAGTATGTTGAAAATATCCTACATACCTATATCTGCCAAATATGGTAGACATCATTTTAAAATACAAATTAGCAGATACTTTGTTGTTCCCCACATTCAAAGGGTGTGTCAAAGTTTTCATTCACATGCCAGTGCAGGATTTCTAGTCAACAGTTTCCTCAATGCATTCTGGACATCCTTGTTCCTCAGGCTGTATATAATAGGATTGACCATTGGTGTCCCAACTATATAGAGCACAGAAAAGACTTTGCTTAAGTTGGGATACCAAGTTGTTGTAGGTACACCATACACCACCATCAGTGTCCCATAGAACACTGTAACCACAATGAGATGTGAGGAGCAGGTGGAAAAGGCTTTTTGTTTGCTTTTGGCAGATGGGATCTTGAGGATGGTGGAGATGATTTTACAGTATGACAGAATGGTAAGAAGGAATGGAGAGAAGGATACAAGAGAAGCAATAAGGAAAGAAAGGATTCTCACCAGTCGTGTGTCTCCACAGGCAAGTTTAACCACAGGTGCCAAATCACAGAAGAAATGATCAATCTTATTAGAGGCACAGAAAGGCAGCACAGAAACCATTGGCATGGTGACAAATAAGGAAATAAACCCACCAACCCATGACCCTATCGCTAGCTGAACGCACACTCTGAAGTTCATTAAGTTTCCATAATGCAGTGGTTGGCATATGGCTACATAGCGATCATAGGACATTGCCGCTAGAAGAAAACACTCGGTAACTGCCAGTGAGCCAAAGATGTAAAACTGGAGGAGACAAGCTGAGAAGGAAATGGCCTCATGGGCAGTCAGTAATGTTTTCAGCATCTTCGGAACCACACTAGTGGTGTACCATATTTCCAAGAAAGAGAGGTTTCCCAGGAAGAAGTACATGGGGGTATGAAGGCTGTGGTCAGTTAACACAACCGCTGTGATCATTATATTCCCCATTAATGTTACTATGTAGACCACAAGAAATATTACAAATGTAGGCATTCTTAGCTCATGAAGGTTCCCAAATCCCAGGAGAATAAATTCTGTGATCACTGTTTGATTAGGGCTTGCATTTCCACCTGAAAAACAGACACACGGTTGATGAGGAAGAGGAAGACAAGCAGAGCAGGGTACCTGTTTAACAGAATCTGAATAATTTGACTCCCTATAATCAAATGGAATGTACAATCATATTGAGCAATACAAAAACTTCTTTCCAGTTAACTCTCTTCATAAGCCATTTGCACATTTAGTTATGTAGGAAACTCATCTCCATTGTTCTTCAGGTGAGTGGCAGCTGGGCTGCTTCCAAGAAGTATTTCCTAGTATAAATTTTGCACATTTGTACGTTCTGCAAAATTTAAATATTTGAATACGTAGAGCAGGGGTAGCCAACATGGTGCTTTCTGCTGTTGTTGGATCACAACTCCCATCATCCTGACCACTGACCATCCTGGCAGAGGGTGATGGGAAAATAGCTACCCCTAATATAGAGGCTTGTAATCTTTGATTCCTCAAACTTTCCCAGAACCTTTGGACAAAATTCATAGACTCATAGAACTGTAGAGCTGGATAGTATCCCAAGGGCCATGTAGTCCAGCCCCTCACAATGCAGGAATCTCAACTAAAGCATCCATGACAGATGGTCACCCAACCTCTGCTTAAAAATCTCAAATGAAAGAAAGTCTACCACTTTCCGAGAGAGTCTGTTCCTGTATCAAACAGCTCTTGCCATTAGAAAGTTATTCCTTATATTTAGTCGGAATCTCCTTTTTTGTGACTTGAAGCCATTGGTTCTGGTCCTACTCTGTGGAGCAGGAGAAAATGAGCTTCTCCACCTTCCATGTGGCAACCTTTGAGATATATGAGGATGGCTATCATATCTCCTCTCTGTCTCCTCTTTTCCAGGTTAAACATATCCAACTCCCTCAACCATTCCTCATAAGGCTTGGTTTCCAGACCCTTGATCTTCTTAGTTCCCCTCCTCTGCACATGTTCTAATGGTTATATTTCTAAAACCAAGTCTCTGGTGCTCTGTCATACAAAGGGAAACTAGACCTGATTGTGCAGGGAACCTGCTGCTCTCCTGATGTTGTGGATCCACTCACAGTGACCCCTTCCCAGGGAGCAAGAGCTAACCTTTGAAGGTGAACAAAGCAGGCAAGATTTCAATGGCTCTACTTAGCATGACTAATGGAACAATCCTATGCACAGGAAGCTTGTGTGAAGCAAGCCCAGTGTAAACTGAACTGGCAAAAAGTACATCAGATCCAAACTCTGTTCAGGGGCAGGCTACTTCTGGCTGAGCCAGCCTAAATATGACAGGAGGGAAAGACGCCTTTAAAATGTGTTTTGAGTTATACCCCCCATCTTGTTGGCTTAATGTACACCAGGTCTCCAGTACACATGACTGAGCTGAAAGGGTTTGAAATCCAACCTAAGTCTCCCTTCCCTCTATTTCCCCCCTCATCTGTTTTAGAGCTTATGCCAATTTAAGATTCTCCAGGCTCAACTCAGATGACTGGATCCCAGCTCAGATGAGATAAGGATGGGGAGATAAGCTGGTGTAGTCTGGGTGTTCCGGGAACCTCC